CCTTAAACATCACCCTAGCACCGTAACCCAATACCCGGGTATTACCTTGAGGAAGCCTTAACACCCCAAACATTTTTTTTTCACTTTTCGTTTTTTTTTTTTTGGTCTAGCTAACTCCAAAAGGTTGGAAAAGAGTTCCTACAAAGGTTTTGGACAGTGATTTTAACCCTAACGCCAAAAACCTTAAACGTTACCCTAGCCCCATAACCCAATACCTGGGTATTACCTTGAGGAAGCCTTAACACCCCAAACATTTTTTTTTCACTTTTCGTTTTTTATTTTGGTCTAGCTAACTCCAAAAGGTTGGAAAAGAGTTCCTACAAAGGTTTTGGACAGTGATTTTAACCCTAACGCCAAAAACCTTAAACGTTACCCTAGCCCTGTACCCAATACCCGGGTATTACCTTAAGGAAGCCCTAACACCCCAAACATTTTTTTTTTCATTTTTCAGTTTTTTTGGTCTAACTAACTCCAAAAGATCTGAAACATGTTCCTAAAAAGGTTTTGGACATTGATTTTAACCCTAAGCTCAAGAATCTTAACCCTGACCCTAGCCCCGTAACCCAATACCCGGGTATTACCTTGAGGAAGCCTTAACACCCCAAACATTTTTTTTCACTTTTCTTTTTTTTTTTTGGTCTAGCTAACTCCAAAAGGTTGGAAAAGAGTTCCTACAAAGGTTTTGGACAGTGATTTTAACCCTAACGCCAAAAACCTTAAACGTTACCCTAGCCCCATAACCCAATACCCGGGTATTACCTTGAGGAAGCCTTAACACCCCAAACAATTTTTTTTTACTTTTCGTTTTTTTTTTTTGGTCTAGCTAACTCCAAAAGGTTGGAAAAGATTTCCTACAAAGGTTTTGGACAGTGATTTTAACCCTAACGCCAAAAACCTTAAACGTTACCCTAGCCCCGTAACCTAATACCCGGGTATTACCTTAAGGAAGCCTTAACACCCCAAAAATTGTTTTTTTCATTTTTCGTTTTTTTTGGTCTAACTGACTCCAAAAGGTCTGAAACATGTTCCTAAAAAGGTTTTGGACAGTGATTTTAACCCTAAACTCAAAAACCTTGAACTTTACCCTAGCCCCGTAACCCAATACCCGGGTATTACCTAAAGGAAGCCCTACCACCCCAATTTTTCTTTTCATTTTTCATTTTATTTTTTGGTCTAACTAACTCCAAAAGGTCTGAAACATGTTCGTAAAAAGGTCTTTGACAGTGATTTTAATCCTAACTCCAAAAACCTTAAACCTGACCCTAGCCCCGTAACCCAATACCTGGGTATTACCTAAAGGAAGCCTTAACACCCAAAACAATTTATTTTTCATTTCTCGTTTTTTTTTTGTCTGACTAACTCCAAAACCTTACCCTATTACCTAAAGGAAGCTCTAACACCCCAAACATTTTTTTGTCATTCTTCAGTTTTTTTGGTCTAATTACCTCCAAAAGGTCTGAAACATGTTCCTAAAAAATATTGCACAGTGATTTCAACCCGAACCCCAAAAACCTTAAACCTTAACCTACCCCTTAACCCAATACCTGGGTACTACCTTAAGGAAGCCCTAACACCCCAAAAATTGTTTTTTCATTTTTCGTTTTTTTTTTTGGTCTAGCTAACTCCAAAAGTTTCGAAAAGAGTTCCTAAAAAGGTTTTGGACAGTGATTTTAATCCTAACGCCAAAAACCTCTTACCTTTACCTAGCCCTGTAACCTAGTACCCGGGTATTACCTAAAGGAAGCCCTACCACCCCCATATTTTTTTTTTATATTTTTCGTTTTTTTTGGTCTAGCTAACTCCAAAAGTTTCGAAAAGAGTTCCTACAAAGGTTTTGGACAGTGATTTTAACCCTAATCCCAAAAACCTTAAACCTTACCCTAGCCCCGTAACCTAATACATGTTTAGGTAATGAAACATGTAATGAAACATGGTCCTAAAAAGGTTTTGGACATTGACTTTAACCTTAAGCTCAAAAACCTTGAACCTTACCCTAGCCCCGTAAACCAATACCCGGGTATTACCTAAAGGAAGCCCGAACACCCCAAATTTTTCTTTTCATTTTTCATTTTATTTTTTGGTCTAACTAACTCCAAAAGGTCTGAAACATGTTCATAAAAAGGTCTTTGACAGTGATTTTAATTCTAACTCCAAAAACCTTAAACCTGACCCTAGCCCCGTAACCCAATACCTGGGTATTACCTAAAGGAAGCCTTAACACCCCAAACAATTTATTTTTCATTTCTCGTTTTTTTTTGTCTGACTAACTCCAAAACCTTTCCCTATTACCTAGAGGAAGCTCTAACACCCCAAACATTTTTTTGTCATTCTTCAGTTTTTTTGGTCTAATTACCTCCAAAAGGTCTAAAACATGTTCCTAAAAAATATTGCACAGTGATTTCAACCCGAACCCCAAAAACCTTAAACCTTAACCTACCCCTTAACCCAATACCTGGGTACTACCTTAAGGAAGCCCTAACACCCCAAACATTTTTTTTTTCATTTTTCAGTTTTTTTGGTCTAACTAACTCCAAAAGATCTGAAACATGTTCCTAAAAAGGTTTTGGACATTGATTTTAACCCTAAGCTCAAAAATCTTAACCCTGACCCTAGCCCCGTAACCCAATACCCGGGTATTACCTTGAGGAAGCCTTAACACCCCAAACATTTTTTTTTCACTTTTCGTTTTTTTTTTGGTCTAGCTAACTCCAAAAGGTTAGAAAAGATTTCCTACAAAGGTTTTGGACAGTGATTTTAACCCTAAGCTCAAAAATCTTAACCCTGACCCTAGCCCCGTAACCCAATACCCGGGTATTACCTTGAGGAAGCCTTAACACCCCAAACATCTTTTTTTTCACTTTTCGTTTTTTTTTTGGTCTAGCTAACTCCAAAAGGTTAGAAAAGATTTCCTACAAAGGTTTTGGACAGTGATTTTAACCCTAACGCCAAAAACCTTAAACGTTACCCTAGCCCCGTAACCTAATACCCGGGTATTACCTTAAGGAAGCCTTAACACCCCAAATATTGTTTTTTTCATTTTTCGTTTTTTTTGGTCTAACTGACTCCAAAAGGTCTGAAACATGTTCCTAAAAAGGTTTTGGACAGTGATTTTAACCCTAAACTCAAAAACCTTGAACCTTACCCTAGCCCCGTAACCTAGTACCCGGGTATTACCTAAAGGAAGCCCGAACACCCCAATTTTTCTTTTCATTTTTCATTTTATTTTTTGATCTAACTAACTCCAAAAGGTCTGAAACATGTTCCCACAAACGTTTTGGACAGTGATTTTAACCCTAATGCCAAAAACCTTTAACCTTACCCTAGCCCCAAAACCCAATATTATCTTCAGGAAACCCAAACACCCCAAATATTTTTTTTTCATTTTTCGTATTTTTTTTTTTGGTCTAACTAACTCCAAAAGGTTGGAAAAGAGTTCCTACAAAGGTTTTGGACAGTGATTTTAACTCTAACGCCAAAAACCTTAAACCTTACCCTAGCCCCAGAACCTTATACTCGGGTATTACCTTCAGGAAGCCCGAACACCCAAAATATATTTTTTTCATTTTTCTTTTTTTTTTGTGTAACTAACTTCAAAAGGTTGGAAAAGAGTTCCTACAAAGGTTTTGGACAGTGATTTTAACCCTAATGCCAAAAACCTTTAACCTTACCCTAGCCCCAGAACCTTATACTCGGGTATTACCTTCAGGAAGCCCGAACACCCAAAATATTTTTTTTTCATTTTTCTTTTTTTTTTGTGTAACTAACTTCAAAAGGTTGGAAAAGAGTTCCTACAAAGGTTTTGGACAGTGATTTTAACCCTAATGCCAAAAACCTTTAACCTTACCCTAGCCCCAAAACCCAATATTACCTTCAGGAAACCCGAACACCCCAAATATTTTTTTTTATTTTGCTTTTTTTTGGTCGAACTAACTCCAAGAGTTTGGAAAAGATTTCCTACAAAAGTTTTGGACAGTGATTTTAACCCTTACGTCAAAAACCTTAAACTTTACCATAGCCCCATAACCTAATAATAGTATTACCTTCAGGAAGCCCGAACACCCCCAATTTTTTTTTTTTTTTCATTTTTCATTTTTTTTGGTGTAACTAACTCCAAAAGGTCTGAAACTTGTTCCCACAAAGGTTTTGGACAGTGATTTTAACCCTAACCCCAAAAACCTTAAACCTTACCCTAGCCCCAAAACCTAATACCCGGGTATTACCTTCAGGAAGCCTGAACACCCCAAATATTTTTTTTTCATTTTTCGTTTTTTTTTTTTGGTCTAACTAACTCCAAAAGGTTGGAAAAGAGTTCCTACAAAGGTTTTGGACAGTGATTTTAACCCTAATGCCAAAAACCTTTAACCTTACCCTAGCCCCAAAACCCAATATTACCTTCAGGAAACCCGAACACCCCAAATATTTTTTTTTATTTTGCTTTTTTTTGGTCGAACTAACTCCAAGAGTTTGGAAAAGATTTCCTACAAAAGTTTTGGACAGTGATTTTAACCCTTACGTCAAAAACCTTAAACTTTACCATAGCCCCATAACCTAATAATAGTATTACCTTCAGGAAGCCCGAACACCCCCAATTTTTTTTTTTTTCATTTTTCATTTTTTTTGGTGTAACTAACTCCAAAAGGTCTGAAACTTGTTCCCACAAAGGTTTTGGACAGTGATTTTAACCCTAACCCCAAAAACCTTAAACCTTACCCTAGCCCCAAAACCTAATACCCGGGTATTACCTTAAGGAAGCCTTCACACCCCAAACATTTTTTTTTTCATTTTTCGTTTTTTTTTGGTCCAACTAACTCCAAAAGGTTGGAAAAGAGTTCCTACAAAGGTTTTGGACAGTGATTTTAACTCTAACGCCAAAAACCTTAAACCTTACCCTAGCCCCAGAACCTTATACTCGGGTATTACCTTCAGGAAGCCCGAACACCCAAAATATATTTTTTTCATTTTTCTTTTTTTTTTGTGTAACTAACTTCAAAAGGTTGGAAAAGAGTTCCTACAAAGGTTTTGGACAGTGATTTTAACCCTAATGCCAAAAACCTTTAACCTTACCCTAGCCCCAGAACCTTATACTCGGGTATTACCTTCAGGAAGCCCGAACACCCAAAATATTTTTTTTTCATTTTTCTTTTTTTTTTTGTGTAACTAACTTCAAAAGGTTGGAAAAGAGTTCCTACAAAGGTTTTGGACAGTGATTTTAACCCTAATGCCAAAAACCTTTAACCTTACCCTAGCCCCAAAACCCAATATTACCTTCAGGAAACCCGAACACCCCAAATATTTTTTTTTATTTTGCTTTTTTTTGGTCGAACTAACTCCAAGAGTTTGGAAAAGATTTCCTACAAAAGTTTTGGACAGTGATTTTAACCCTTACGTCAAAAACCTTAAACTTTACCATAGCCCCATAACCTAATAATAGTATTACCTTCAGGAAGCCCGAACACCCCCAATTTTTTTTTTTTTTCATTTTTCATTTTTTTTGGTGTAACTAACTCCAAAAGGTCTGAAACTTGTTCCCACAAAGGTTTTGGACAGTGATTTTAACCCTAACCCCAAAAACCTTAAACCTTACCCTAGCCCCAAAACCTAATACCCGGGTATTACCTTCAGGAAGCCTGAACACCCCAAATATTTTTTTTTCATTTTTCGTTTTTTTTTTTTGGTCTAACTAACTCCAAAAGGTTGGAAAAGAGTTCCTACAAAGGTTTTGGACAGTGATTTTAACCCTAATGCCAAAAACCTTTAACCTTACCCTAGCCCCAAAACCCAATATTACCTTCAGGAAACCCGAACACCCCAAATATTTTTTTTTATTTTGCTTTTTTTTGGTCGAACTAACTCCAAGAGTTTGGAAAAGATTTCCTACAAAAGTTTTGGACAGTGATTTTAACCCTTACGTCAAAAACCTTAAACTTTACCATAGCCCCATAACCTAATAATAGTATTACCTTCAGGAAGCCCGAACACCCCCAATTTTTTTTTTTTTCATTTTTCATTTTTTTTGGTGTAACTAACTCCAAAAGGTCTGAAACTTGTTCCCACAAAGGTTTTGGACAGTGATTTTAACCCTAACCCCAAAAACCTTAAACCTTACCCTAGCCCCAAAACCTAATACCCGGGTATTACCTTAAGGAAGCCTTCACACCCCAAACATTTTTTTTTTCATTTTTCGTTTTTTTTTGGTCCAACTAACTCCAAAAGGTTGGAAAAGAGTTCCTACAAAGGTTTTGGACAGTGATTTTAACCCATACGCCAAAAACCTTAAACCTTACCCTAGCCCCGTAACCTAATACCTGGGTATTACCTTCAGGAAGCCTTAACACCCCCAAAAACTTTTTTTTCATTTTTCATTTTTTTTTTTAGTCTAGCTCCCTCCAAAAGGTTGGAAAAGAGTTCCTACAAAGGTTTTGGACAGTGATTTAAACCCTAACGCCAAAAATCTTTAACCTTTTCCTAACCCTGTAACATAATTTATACATAATATTGCTCTACAAACACATAGTCTAAAAGATAGACAGCATAGCATACCAACTGAGCTGAGTCATTAAACTTTCTACCAACACATAATTTTTACACACAGATTGAGCACGGAGACTCGACTGGAACATGTGACAGGTCGACATGCGCCGCCAGTGCAAGCCCTTGATCAGCCTACCCCAAACCGCCAAGTCAACTGACGAAAGCGGGGGCTATCACTCTATCTCTTTCCCACACCTAACCAGCCACTTGCCTTCGGACAGACTTGTCACAATATCATTCCGAGAATAGTCTGAGCCCATGCCCAAATTTACATTTCGGTCTGTCTTTTAGGGAACTGTTCTCTGTTTTTAAGCTCACCTCTGATTTTTGCTATTTGCTCTTGACACTTCTTTTTTTCCTTTTTCTTCCCCTTTCCCTTTTGCAATCCACTTTTGTTCTTCTTTTATTTTTTTATTTTTTCATTGTTTTATATTATTTTATTTTATTTTATTTTAGGGTTCCTGTGCTTTTGTTTTTCTTCCCCCCTCCCCTCTTTTTTCTTAGGAAGGACTGAGGCTGTGTCTCATTTCAGAGACCGCATCGACCTAAGTGCCCTTCTGCACCGTCGAACGGTGCATTTGAAGTGTGCATGACGTCACGACGGTGCGAACGGTGTCCCGTTTGGCACGAGATGCTAAAAAATGCTAAGCGCGCTTAGCATGTTTTCAAGTGTGCATTTATCCACGCTTTCGTGCCGTCGGTATCCCAGAATCCTTTGCGTGCCGCTGCACAGCTGCGCATTTCAGGTGAGAGGCTGGACTCGCTTGGAGACGCAGCGCGTCTTCAAAGAAATTACAAGCAATCCGAAAACAGCAGACAGTCAGCTCAGGCTGTATGAGAGCATGATCTCTGAACTCACTAAAATCTGTTAACCAAACATTATAGATTTAGAGACGAACTGATCCGCTCTGCTTCAACAATCAAAAACATTAGAAATAAGAAAGCTGACAAAACTACAGCAGAGTATCAGGACAACATTGAGTTTTTTTTCTTTTAAGATTTAGAGATTAAAGTTGTAAATTTAGGAGAATAAAGTCATAAAGTAAATAAAGTCATAAAGCTGCTTTTGTGGAGGGGGAAATGACTGAAGCTGGTCATCTGCAGGGTGATCTGTGGATGTATCAGCGGGTCATTCAGAGAGATTTTGTGGTTTCTGAAGAAACAATCAAACTGATGATGATCAACATTTGTGATCCAGAGGGAGTCGAGCTCCGACGAGCACCACGTCTCTGACACCGGCCGTAGCCTACACCTGCAGAGACACCAACACCTTATTATGGCATATGGATTCATATCATAAATTAAAGCTCAATGTCATTCACAGATATTTACGGCTGCATTGACAGATATATCCTCAGCATATTCATTTCTGCCTCCACAAAAGCAGCGATTTCCTTCAAGTACACCAGTTTTTTTCCCCGTGGAAAAGACGTATTTCTCATATATTCTTTTTTTAAAGTCTTTATACTTATGACAATGTGATGCTGATGTGCCAGAGGATGAAGTATCTCCTATCGTCCTTCTCAATAGGGCCCTCATACTCCTTCATACAAAACAATCATTGGATTAATTTTGTGGGAATGATCTGTGCTTGTATGTATCTACTATTTTGTGTCTGTGCAAGGTCGCACAATTAAAACAATACATGCTGCGCTCCGCAGCTTTTTTCTAATCAGTCGTGACGTAAGCCTGAGGGCGGGGACATTTGGAGACCTTCGGAGGACTTCCTGGTGGAGTTGCCAAATGTCCCCGCCCTCAGGCTCGCGTCACGACTGACTTAAAGGAAACCCGCGGAGCGCAGCATTTATTGTTTTAATTGTGCGACCTTGCACAGACACAAAATAGTAGATACATACAAGCACAATTCATCCAATGATTGTTTTGTAAGAAGGAGTATGAGGGCCATATTGAGATTTAAGACTTTAAGGACTTCGAGATTTAAGTCGTGAATTTACGAGAATAAAGTCATTAATTTATGAGAATGAAGTCATAACCTGTTATTTCAGAGAGACTTGTTAAAATTAGGGCCATGAAGCATTTGAAGGAACTGTGCTTCAGTATAGGTTTCACAAACAAGGAGATTCTTCATCCTCTGGCACATCAGCATAACATTGTCATAAGTATAAAGACTTTAAAAAGAATATATGAGAAATACGTCTTTTCCACGGGGGAAAAATATTGGTGTACTTGAAGGAAATCGCTGCTTTTGTGGAGGCAGAAATGAATATGCTGAGGATATATCTGTCAATGCAGCCGTTAATATCCGTGAATGACATTGAGCTTTAGTTTATGATATGAATCCATATGCCGTAATAAGGTGTTGGTGTCTCTGCAGGTGTAGGCTACGGCCGGTGTCAGAGACGTGGTGCTCGTCGGAGCTCGACTCCCTCTGGATCACAAATGTTGATTATCATCAGTTTGATTGTTTCTTCAGAAACCACAAAATCTCTCTTAATGACCCGCTGATACATCCACAGATAACCCTGCAGATGACCAGCTTCAGTCATTTCCCCCTCCGCAAAAGCAGCTTTGTGACTTTATTTACTTTATGACTTTATTCTCCTAAATTTACAACTTTAATCTCTAAATCTTAAAAGAAAAAAAAACCTCAATGTTGTCCTGATACTCTGCTGTAGTTTTGTCAGCTTTCTCATTTCTAATGTTTTTGATAGTTGTAACACAGCGGATCAGTTCGTCTCTAAATCTATAATGTTTGGTTTACAGATTTTAGTGAGTTCAGAGATCATGCTCTCATACAGCCTGAGCTGACTGTCTGATTGTTTTGGATTGCTTGTATTTTCTTCGAAGACGCGCTGTGTCTCCAAGCGAGTCCAGCCTCTCACCTGAAATGCACAGCTGTGCAGCGGCACGCAAAGAATTCTGGGATACCGACGGCACGAAAGCGTGCATACATGCACGCTTGAAAACGAGGCGGGGGTAGTGTGGTGTTGAGACCGAATTTGAAGCGCGCTTAGTATTTTGTGCCAAACGGGACACCGTTCGTGCCGCGTGGTGACCTCACGTACGCGTCAGATGCGCCGTTCGATGGCTGCTGTATCTGAAATGGGACACAGGAAGGGCACAGAACGGCGCAAAACGGCGTAAAACGGCTCAAAACGGCAGTGCACTCAGCTAAGCGCCGTTAAGCGCGCTTATGACGATGCGGTCTCTGAAATGAGACACAGCCTGACTCCTGAGGTTCTCATGCCAGGAAAAATGTACCTCCCTCACTCACGGTTCTACCCACAATCCTTTGCTGCAACAGGGAGATTGATTCCCAAGGCTCTCATGCCAGAAAGGAAGTACCTCACTCACTCACGGTTTTACCCACAATCCTTTGCTGTAACAGGAAGATTGATTCCTTAGGCTCTCATCCCTCAGAACTAAAATACCCAAAATCCCTTACAATTGCATACAAATTTAATGTAGCAAAACTCAATTTAAAACAAATAAACTACATTAAAATTAACTTAAAACAACTTGAAAGTTTAAAATACAACCAAGAGACATCCATTCTGGAATACAAACATCGAGAAGAGAACACAACCATGTCTGAGAGGAACAGCACAAACCATGACCCGAGCCCAACTCTGGGCATGTCTTCTCCTGTCAAAAGCACATTTAAGTGCTGTGCACTAAAGATCAATTCCTGTTCCTGTAATTGAGACAAAGCACTGACCACTGGACCAAGAAGACGGACCACCGCCTCAGGGAAGACGCCGCACCTCCAACACTCCAAGCCGTCCACCACCGAGTTTCGACGGCACCGAGTCCCAGCAAACCTTGCCTCGGAGCGCCTATCTTCTTTCCCTCGCCGAGGACCCCGGACTTCAGACACACCGCTGCCGCCGCGGCTGGAAAGCTGGGACCTTTTCCCCCCTCCAACAGATTTTAGACTACTGGAAAAGAAACGCCTCATATCAACAACAACATAGGACCACTAGGGTAAGTCTACAAAAAACCTCTCAAACACCTCAAAATTACTCTAAATAGTTAGTTTTGTTTGTTGAACTTGAGTTTGTGTCGTTTTTGAACTTGAGTTTGTGGTGTTTTTGAACTTAAGTTTGTGTCGTGTTTGAAGTTTGTGGCAACTTATGAGTTTGTTTGGCTTGATTTTTTGGCAATTGTTGAACTTGAGTCTGTGGTTTTTAGTGAACTTGAGTTGGTGGCAATTGTTGAACTTGAGTTTGTGGCGTTTGTTGAACTTGAGTTTGTGGTGTTTGTTGAACTTGAGTTTGTGAAGTGTTTGAACTTGAGTTTGTGTTTTTTTTAACTTGAGGTTGTGGCAATTGTTAAACTTGAGAATCGGGTGTTGGTTGAACTTGAGTTTGTGGTGTTCATTGAACTTGAGTTTGTGGAATATTTGAACTTGAGTTTATTATGTTTTTTGAACTTGAGGTTCTGGTGTTTTTGAACTTGAGTTTGTGGAAATTGTTGAACTTGAGGATCGGGTGTTGCTTGAACTTGACTTGTTGTGTTTGTTGAACTTGAGTTTGTGTCATTTTAGAACTTGAGTTTGTGTGGTGTTTTTGAACTTGAGTTTGTGGCGTTTGTCGAACTTGAGTTTGTGGCATGTTTGAACTTGAGTTTGTGGTGTTTTTTGAACTTGAGGTTGTGGAAATTGTTAAACCTGAGAATCGGGTGTTGGTTGAACTTGAGTTTGTTTGTTTTTTGAACTTGAGTTTGTGTCATGTATGAACTTGAGTTTGTGGTGTTTTTTGAATTGAAGTTGTGGCGTGTTTGAACTTGAGTTTGTGTGTTTTTTGAACTTGAGGTTGTGGAAATTGTTAAACTTGAGAATTGGGTGTTGTTTGAACTTCAGTTTGTGGTGTTTTTGAACTTGAGTTTGTGTTGTTTTTGAACTTAAGGTTGTGGAAATTGTTAAACTTGAGAATTGGGTATTGGTTGAACTTGAGTTTGTGTGTTTTTTGAATTTGAGTTTGTGGCGTGTTTGAACTTAAGTTTGTGTTGTTTTTGAACTTGAGGTTGTGGCAATTGTTAAACTTGAGATTTGGGTGTTGGTTGAACTTGAGTTTGTGTCGTTTGAACTTGAGTTTGTGGTGTTTTTGAATTTGAATTTGTGTGTTTTATTATCTTAAGTTTGTGGCAATTTATGAACTTGAGTTTGTTGAACTTGAGTTTGTGGTCTTTGTTCAACTTGAGTTTGTGGATTTTAGTGAACTCTAGTTGGTGGCATCTTTGAACTTGAGTTTGTGGCATATGTTGAACTTGAGTTTGTGATGTGTTTGAACTTGAGTTTGTGGTGTTTTTGAACTTGAGTTTGTGTCGTGTTTGAACTTGAGTTTGTGGCTTGTTTGAACTTGAGTTTCTGTTGTCTTTGAACTTGTGGTTGTGGCAATTGTTAAACTTG